TGTTGTTTTTCCGAAGTCTCCAAGTGAATAATGAAATCATCCTTAATCTTGAGCTGTTTTACGGTGTCATCATACTTAAGAAACTTTCTTCCGAAAATAGGGATTTACGTTTTTGACGGCGATTTAGACGCCTTCGAGGCTTCGCCTAGTAGGTTTTTTTTAATTTAACATGAACTCGGCACGAAAAAAAAGTTTTCACTTCATTAGAGAATATAATTTGCAAACTGAAAGCAGACATTAAAGACGTTGCTCTCTGATCAGCAGGGTTATACGATTTCCAAATATGATCGAACAGGCTTAACAACTCCAGCTCACTTTGAAAACAACGCATTCCTGCTTTCTTTCTAACCTATAGCTCCCGAAATTTGAATTCCATTTTCTCCAATTGTCCACTTAAGGCTGCCCTACAGCTAGTCTAAACGTGATCAGTAACTAAACTTGAATGAGAGCCATGACATGAAAATGCATCAGAAGGGGCTTGGCGTATTTCTGAAGGTGCATCCCTGTCGCCATATTCTAATTGTCCACAACTGGTTACGTATCCGCCTTCATTGAGCGTCTATCAAGCATACTATCTCGGAATGGCTATCTGATTAGTGTCTAGTTATTTCGTAATCGAATCGATATCACTTTGATTCTCGATGGTTCTCTAGCTGATATCGGACTTTGGCGATATTTGTCTTGAAATTATTCATATACACACACAAACACAGAACTTGGATGTTCATCAGGCACTGTGATGAAAAAACACTCCCGTTTCAAAGTAATTCGATAGATGAGAGTTAGCAGTGGAAATTCCGGGTGATCTGTTGGTTCTATTTGGTAGGCGTTATTTGTCCGCCTTTGTATCCCCGGGTGTGATGATGTTCACTTGTGTGACTAAGTCACTGGGTCATTGGAAACACCTCTTATACAGCAAACAGCATTGGTTATTCATTGCAATTTGCTCAAATTCTAGTAAACTACAATACCATGCATTTAACTTCATAAGACACAATGCAGTTTAAAACAGGACCACTTAAATGAATAAGACATTGAATAACCAGTGTAAAAAAGGCTCAGGCATGTGAAGTAACCTTGAGTATGTTGTTGAATTTTAAAAAAAATAGAAGACAAAGTAGAATCTTACTGGTGTTTTTTTATTCTAAATTAAATCATATACTTTTAAGCTATTTAAATGCGCAGATGGTTTTATTTCTTCTTTCTTGAATAAATTAGTTTCAAATTAGGCACTGATTGGGCTAATATATTCTTTATTAATACTCTTAGTCTCAAACAAATCGAGTTGTAAAGGTGTAGGCTTTATGGCATATTCCTCCAGCTACTACTACTACTACTACTGTAACAATAGAAGGCAAGACACAGAAGCCAAGGTATACTCCTCACTAATCAAACCGATGTTTATATATATATATATATATATATATATAGTTTTGCATTCTCTAAACAGTCATTTAGCGTGTGATTTTGGCTTACATTAAACGACATAAAGTAGAATGTTCAAATAAACATAGTTTTCTGTTGCTAATGTCGTATTAAACTGTGGGAATATGTGAGAATAATATTCCGTTGGAACACATTGTCTGTATCACACAACCACACTCTAGCTGATATCAATCCTTGGGGAAACTTTAAAAAAGGAATAATAATAATAATTATAATTCGATTGACTAAGCGCTTCACATACTTTTGTTATCTTTGAAGTTTGATGTTCACCGTACGATTACCATCCTTGAATTAATTATTTTATCATGTTTCTTGATTTCTGTTGAATAGATAAACTATTTCAGTTTTGTGTACCTTATTTGATAAGGAATAAACTGATAGGATTTTATTTATTTTTTAATTAGTAATTCTTGTTGAAGTATTATAGGGAAGTCTTAGTTTTGTAATGTTTTGTTGATATATGTAGTCCTTGATTTTATTGGAGTCTACAGTAATAATGACACCTGAATTTCTGGCTAGATGTGAATACACTGTTTCTGTAAGAGCTCGTCCGAATGTCTCACAGAAATATGTATATATTTAAGTATTAGTTGAAATTAAACCGATTTCTAGTTAGGTCAGAAACTGATATTAGTTGCAGAACAAGTGGAAAACAGGGAGTACTGAACAGCTGTTTCGTCTTGCCTTGGAACCTTTCAGCAGTACATACCCGTTGGGAATCGAGACGTGCTGACAGACCAATCAACGGCTGACGGATTTTAACTCCTAATCACTTACTATATTTGATGGCGCAACTGCCCGCCGGTGTTATCGGCGAGTATTTATCCATACACCCAACTTGATGGACCTCAAGGGTCATGACTTTTCACAAGAACCCTGGCCAACTTCATCCTGTAATCAACCACTGGTGGACAGGTCCTCGGTTCGACCTTCAGTGCAGTTGAAGAGTCTCTGGTTTTTCCTGACTCCTCAGTTGATATCATTTCATGACCTAACTTATATATAATTTTTAATACAGTGCATGGAAGCTAAATATGTGTGTTTATTGTACTGCTTATGGGCATAATCACCTACCGAATGTGTTGTCAGAAAGTTTCAATTTGCAATAATTTATTCAGTTAAGTGAAAATAATTGTCTTATTGTAGACATGTTCTTTGTAATTTATTTATCAATTCAACTGAAATTCTTTGGTTGGAGGATTTTATCATGAGCTGACATCAGTTAGAGGACAATTGGAAAACCTGCGAGTCCTGGATAGCTGTTTCGTCTTAGTTTGCTTTCGGAGTTCGAATTCTAGGACCTTTTGGTTACAAGGCTAGCGAGCTCATAGACGACTAAGCCACTGGGACACAATCCAATGGCCAGCCCATGAATTCTACCTTCTGCCAATTCACAACATTGCGCAAACACTTCACAATGTCTTCTTCGATGAGTTACTGCCTAACCTTTACCCTGCTGTACCCTACTGGTAACAGCTTCCCAGTAGAACCCCAAGTCACTGCCTGAATAAAGCCAGCTCATGATGAAATCTTCCAACCAGTGAGGCGAAATCCCTGCAAAAACCAATACTCAACTGAAATCCACTTGAATTACCATTAAACGATTAAGTTCTTATGTAAGTGTAACAATAATTGAAGTGGTGGGTATTTAGGCATACATTAAAGTTTGTTGGGAACAGAAAATGAGGTCTTAGATGACAGTATTTTAGATTATGGAACTTTTACGGTTTGTGACTATTTGACTGTCATCACTGGGCAGGTGTTTTGTTTTAGACTCTGTTAAGAGATATCTTACATGTGGATAACACATTTAAATAATGGTCAACTTTCCCAAACTTGCCTGGTGTGTACGGAAGGTCCACTTGTCTGGCACTTTACTGTTTATATAATCCAGTGAACTGGAATATTTCGTAAATGAATTTGTCACACCAACACTCCTTTATTTTTCATCGGTTCTGAGTTAATTGTCTACTTTCTCATATATTTTTTCAAAGTTTTCTTTGAACATTTTATTGTGTAGAGTGTTATGAAAGAGTTATAAAAATTTCAGCATACAATCAATAATTGAACAAACTTTTTTGTTTACATTGAAATACGCACATACACACACTCACATACATGTGGTATGGTATTATATCAATATGAGTGAGCATTAGCTCTTATCAGTGGTGGGTACAAGTTGGCGTTTCTTTTTACGAATTTTTAAATCCACTTATGCAATTCATTTGGGGATACTTTTTAAAAAGAAAATTGTTCAATTTATCAGAACATAATCAGTTATATAGAATATGTCATGGAAATATACTTTGTTGTGGTATTCAGCTTATCAGGGGTAGGTATACGCGCTTTCAGTACAAGACTATCACAGTCAATTAAACGAATACGTTTTTATCCTTTATGAAAAATCAAGAAGGAAAGTTGTCTCTTTTACTTACCTCAGTAGCTTATAGTTTCAACTACAGGTGGCGCAGATGAGGATGTCAGAGCCAACAATAGTATGCCATCAGTAAAGAAACACCGGAACTCATCACTCTGAAATCAATATGGAGAACTACAGCACTCACTACAGAAAACAAGATTTGAATTTCCAACTCTAGTGTCAAGTCAGTGTTTCTGTATACTTCGTGTGTTATAGAAAGCATTTCTAAAAGGCAGGAGCCAACTTTCGTCAACAGCCTACATCGCCTGCTAGATACTCGAAATCAGGTGGCCTACTGATCGTCTAGAAGGGGTAAGCAACATGGGACTCTGGCAGGGCAGTGGACCAGTCAATATCTTACTACCCAACAAACGTGCAGAGGCAACTGGAGATGGATTTTTACATACTGTGAGGAAGCTGTCAAATAGGACCTGAATAAGAAGTAGTGGGTAGAGCGTGGGTCTAATAGTGAAGCTGGAATATAAGCGTATGGGCAGTCATAAAACTAGAGATGTTAGGGAGTCGAGTGCAATGAAGGTGTGTTTTTCTGAAGTTCATAGTAATAGTTATGATATTAATAATAATGAAACCAAGATACTTTCTTACTTTATTCAAGTGTTTGCTTGCAGGGATTTGATTGGTTACAGGATTTCATCATGAGCTGACCTCATGTTGTATTCAGTAGGTCCATTTGTTGCCTAATAAATATGACGCTTCATGTTAAAGTATAGAAACTACAAGTACAACTATTGAAGCCATTTAATAATCTAAAAGATAAAGAAGTGTCCTAATTTCGTTTCAGAGTTGTATCAGACAAGACTTTCTTTATAAGAGCTTAATAATAATAATGAACCGAACTGATTATTTACTTACATTATGGTGTTATTAATTAGGTGATTTTTAGCCTATGCTGTAATTTCACATTACTTCTACCTGTTTGTCTGTATTGGCTTCCGTCACTGTTTTGGTATTTATATCTGTTTTGTGGTGTTAATTCGAATCACTGATGAGTATTTGCTTATAATCTAATCATGTTTGACAGTTTTGATCATCATTACAGTTGATTTAAATGTTGCGCAAAAGTTACCCTAAATTTCTGTTTTTTGTTTGTTTTTTCCTTTTCCTGTTTATCTAGTTTAAAAGTATCATTGAAAAAGGCAAACCTTTCTGTTGATCATCTTTGTCTTCCTTGGCGATACAACTCGTACTACTAAATTTTACTAATACTTCCACCGTTGATCATTATCTAGGCAAAAGAACCGCCATCATCCACATCAGTGATTCATCGGCTTTGATTATATCAAACAGCATTTACGTAGAGTAAGTTGTTTTGTGTTTAATTTGCTCTTTTTTGTTCGGGGTGTTTTATTGTTGGAAAAAAAAGAATAGGAAGAAATTTCTCTTTTCACATGTACTTATATGTTAATTAAAGTCATTATAATAACTAGTTCTGTTCTGTAGGCTTGTAGTAGTTTTGTTAATGTAGGCAAACAATACAGGCATGCAGTGAAACTATAGCACATGAAAAGAAGCCATCAAGTGACATATATGAGTGTTCGTTAAAGGCAAGAAATTGTCAGCATATGATATTTATTGACTGTCATCAAACAAACGTGAATATATATTAGGGTCATTTAAGGCTTTTCTGATTGAATTACAACATTTTACGCTGAATACAATTCAGTATAGTGTGTGTGTTGTTGTGTCGCAGCATTTAAAGGTAAAATGACAGACACAGGAAGCACTAGACAGCTGTGTTTTGTCCTGGTTTTAAACGAAAAACAGCTGTCCAACACTCTGATTTTCATTGGTTGTTCTCTAAGTGTTAATGTTGTTTCATTAAAACGAAAACTGCCTTAGTAGTCAATCAAATCCCGGCCAAACGTATAACGGAAAATTCATTGAGAGCTTTCAACGTGTGTACACACGTCAGTTGCTATTTAATAATCGATTACGGAAAGTCAGACGCTTCCAATACGACTGAATGATTTTTTTATTCCTTTACTTTCCCAGTGGAACATAGGGTTTCAAGCTGGAGGTTTGAAGTTTCGGTAGCAGTGGTGTTTTATTTTTACGGGATGGGGTTGCTGGCCTCATATGCAACCTCACCTCTTTATCAGTCTTATTATTGGCTTAACGAGGTAAAGGAGTGCGTCGGTGGCTGGGGATTGAACCTCTGACCACATGCGTGGTCGAGGAGCATTCTATTGTTGTGCCACCGACGCCAGACCACTGAGTAACACTATTTAATTGAGAAGAAGTAGGAGAGGTTAGAAGTTACTAAAGCAACAATTTAAGTACTTAGTAAAATGCGTACAAACAATCAAACAATTTGATTTTGCTTATGCTTGTCAAACAGAAAGTAAAAACAAAATATTTCGCGCATTTTTCTATGTTTGTTTATGAGTTTTTAATGGTTTAGCTGTGTTTTTCTTTCTCTTTCGTTTGACTCCTTGCAACACTGTTATACTTATTGTTTTGTATTGTCATTCTGTCAAAATAGATGACTCATATTGTATATTAAGTGAAAACAACAATAACAACAAAAATGAAAATATGATATTTTTTGGTTGACGTCATCCTTATATGTCTCTTGGCTTATCAAACAAATCTATGTGTTATATGATATCCAAAGGTTAATTCACTTATACAGTTTTATGGATTTGAATAGTTTACCAACATAATACCAAAGACTAAAAAACTGGTGTTTATTGAGGTTGTAATGCCTTCCCTTTTTCTATTATCCCTATAGGCGAATACTATCAGTAATAATAATCATAATATTAAAACCGACTAAAACGGTTTAATTGCAAGTTCTTTTCTCCTTACTTTCTTTGCACCCCAAGTGGAACATGAAACTTCAAGCTTCAGTTTCGAAGTTTCAGTAGCAGCAGTGTTTTTTTAAGGGATAGGTCAGTAAGCCTCACTACCAACTTTCCCCGTTTTGCCAACTTATTATTGCCGGCTAGGCGAGGTTTAAGAGTGAGTCTGCCGGGAGTCGAACCCCGGACCAAATGACTGGTTGGCAAGTATTCTGCTACTACTGAACTACTGACGCATAACTACTTTCTTGTGAATAATAATTTTAAAAAATCGGGCGAAAGTGCTATAATCAACCAAGTTGAGTCAACTGTTCATACTCTCCTCTCTAAACTTCCAGAAATTCATCACAAATACTGGTCACTAGTGTGTGTTCATCAGTGGTATTTAAGGTTTATGTGTAAAATTTCGATCTCTATCCGAAGTGTTGCATTGATGATCAGTAGTATTATGAAGTGGTTCGTTATGTTCTACTCTATAGTTATAAGGCATAGTCGCTGGTGTTTGGCCTCAGATGTGTGCAGCACTATGGCGAGCAACAATGATATTATATCTAGCTTCTCAGTCAAGAGATGTAGAACCTTCATCGAATAAGGTGACTGGGATATGCGTAACGCATATCAATTCACTGCCTTCCTCGATGAATAGTGTTGACTGAAGCACAAAAATAGGTTGGAGATAGGTAGAGGTAGTCCAACTGGAATGCAACAATAGTTCATGAAATCAATGACTGATTTACTGGTCTGAACACAGGTGTAGGTTGTCCGATTGAGTTTTAGAATCAATAGTTAGCGACTGTTTGTGAAATTGCTTTAAGTCTTTCACAAAAATAAATCAGTGTTCATTCCTTTTCATTTCTTACATTCTGTAAAGCTTCATTGAGTTTCAGTCAACTGTTCTCTTGGACAAACCGATGTTTGTCTATTGCGGAATCATTTAGCCTCTGTTCTCTCTTTTCATGTTCGCTCTTACGTAGTGTTTTAACCATTACAGATGATACACTTTCTGTTCAAAATTCCCTTTCCATCCGTTGATAAGTTAATCAGTCACTTGGTTGGTCATCTAATCACTTACGCACTCCGTCAATCGGCCAGTCAGTCAGTCATAAGCAGTACACTGTTGTATCATAGATGCACTATTTGGAAACAGAAAAAAAAGTTACATTTAAATAGCGGGGGTGGTGGTAGTGGTGTGAAAATCCGCTGTTCGTAATGAAATTGATATGTATCAAAATCAGAATGAATTATAAAACAAACAAGAGAAAGTATTCAGATTACAAAATGTGATTTGTTTCATGCCAATAACCGTGCCAAAATTTTAAGTATAAAAAACATCATATTTATGGCTACTGATAAAACCAATTCACAGCTACTTATGTCGACAAAAATTTTCATAGTCTCAGTGAGAACGCTGACACATAGCGAAGGTGCAGGTGTGTATTATTATTATTTCCTTGGGTTCTGAGTGGAGCTTGCCTCTTCAGCAGCACACATCTCCATTTCATCCTCTTCTCTGGAATCCTTTTAGCCAGCTTTCATATCCTACTCACAAGATCTGCGTCGTGCCACTCTAGGAACCAAGTTCAACTCGCCGTTTCCTATTCGAGTCCCACTCAACAACACCCTGTCTCATGCATGATGTTACTTAGCCGCCTGCTCATACTGTGTTCAGTCAATCTCTTTTTTCTTCGGCATATTTGTTGAGGAATAGAATAGGTTCTTGGTTAGTTCACTGCTCATCCCTTTTTGCCATTTGACCGACGGTATCGAGTGAAAGTAGGTAGCTGGTGACGAAAGTCTGTTTCCTGTGGATAATGCTTCAAGTGACACCACACACAAGCAAGCACTGATGTGACATTAATGCTGGAAATCCGAATCTTGATCTTTATACAGATTGGGCTAGATCTCCGCATTGATTTCAGAGTAATGAATTTCTAGTTTGCTTTTCCAGTCCTGGCTTTAATATCTTTATTTGTACTCCTGGTAGGTGAAACGATGCTATCTAGATAAGTGTGAGAGGCGACTTAATTCAGATTTCCCCCAGTGGTAGTGGTTAGTGCTTGTTATTGCTGTTGTTTGGTTATCCTCATCACCTCTGTCCTGTCTTGTCTGCCTGCCTCTTTTAACAACTTGTTGGTGTCTCTTGTAGGACTTTGAAATCAAACATAAATCATCTACAAATTCTAAATCTGAACTATCGTTTTAAAAAGTTTGAAGAGTAAGACTTGGTAATTGGTATATCTCTATATAGGCAAATTATGTATACCTTAATCTTCAACGCACTATTTGCACAGATCTTTGTGTTGTAGTACTTCTGGACTTTATGTTGTGTTGCTTTGTGTTCCTTTCGCTTCTTCCATATATCTCCACAAAGCTGTATCCTTTTCCTTCTCTGACATCAAATCTGTTTCCCTGCTATTTGATGTTTTTATGCCGATGGACGTCTCTTAATATACTCCTGATAAATCTTATCAGTGGCACTCACCACAGTTTGACTTTATGAATGTAACTGTATTTTCAGTATAGTCACTGATCCATCAAATGAATATCATTGATTAGTCTGCACTGGCCTATGAAAATCCATATACCATTAATTTGGTACTATTATACATCTTCACCTTCTGTAACGTGGTGATATCATAAAGCGTCAAAAAAAATATGATGCCACGACAGTTAAAGTTATAGATTCGAGTTTTGTGGGGAGACTGATCTATAAGTTCTGTTACATAATTACTTGCCTGTGAGACATGCGTTTTTATTTTTCCATTTCGTCTTTCCTAATTATCCATCTGGTTTTAGAACTCTGTTGTATACGAGTAGCAACACTAACAGATCCTGTAAAATGCTACTAAAGAATAAGCGATTTGCCTGCTTAATACTGTGTGCAGTTAATTAGTACTAACACTAGTAACTGGGAAGTAAGTACGAGTAAACGATTCGCTGAAGAAACTAGAACCTTCATAAGTTTTACACGTATTGATACCAGCACCTATTTCAGTCCTGAATTCCTACTTAACAAGATTCTTCCAGCATTGAATTACTGAAATTATTGTCGAATTCTAGGCATGCGTAAATTAGCCCTTAGAAACTGTAGAATAGTGTACCTCAGGCGGATGAATCCGTGATGGATGGACAAGATGTACTTCTTTTTGAAACAAAACTGTACAGGACACCAATATAACCTCAGGGAAATGTTCACATTCAAATCGCAATTGAAATATATGTAAAAAAGAAGGGAAAATTTGCAATAGAATCTCTTGTTTTAAATAAAACATAATTTTTCAGTTGGTTTTAAGACACTAGAAAAATTGCCACTTTGTAGTTGTACAGAATGTACAGATTGAATTCGAATACAGAATGTTGCAAAGACAAAAATTAAGTTAATTGTCTACTATTAGGAAGAGAAATTATGGAATATAGCATTCATTCCAATTGTACTGTAATTAACTTTTGCCTTGCCTT